TCATCCTTTTCCTGAAACCAGGCAAGCCTCCCAACTTAATATGATCATCATCCTATAGACCAATTAGCCTACTCCCAATTCTTTCAAAAATTTTTGAAAAGATCCTCCTGAAAAGAATCCTACCCATAATGGACTCCCGTAAAATCCCTACTCATCAATTCGGATTCCGTTCCCAACATTCTACCGTCCAACAAGGACTCCGAGTTGTTGACCACATATCCTCAGCCCTTGAAAACAAGCAGTTTTGCTCGAGTGCATTTTTGGACATAGCGAAAGCTTTTGACCGGGTGTGGCACGCCGGACTGCTCTTCAAGCTCAAATCCCATCTACCACAGTCCTTATACCTAAAACTCCAATCCTACCTCTCCGACCGCTCCTTTCGAGTTCGCTGTGGTACAGAATTGTCCGACTGTTATTCAATTGAGGCTGGGGTTCCTCAAGGCAGCGTCTTGGGTCCCATCCTTCACATCATCTATACCGCTGACATTCCCGTCCATCCCGATACACTCCTGGCAACCTTCGCTGATGACACTGCGATCCTATCTTTTAACTCAGATCCTGAAATAGCGTCCAGAAACCTGCAACGGCACCTATCCTTGATTGAACACTGGTGCAAGAAATGGCGCATCAAAGTCAATGAATCCAAATGTAAACATATAACCTTCACCCTTCGTCGTAATTCCTGTCCACCAGTTTACTTTAATACCATCCAGCTTCCCTTCTGCGACACAGTCCGGTACCTTGGTTTTCTCCTAGACAGACGACTAACGTGGAACCCGCATACTAGACTAAAAAGACAGGAACTTAACCGACGTTATGGCCAGCTATATAGACTACTTAATAGAAAATCTAAACTTTCTATTGAAAACAAACTACTGATCTACAAGACAATATTAAAACCCATGTGGACCTACGGACTAGAACTGTGGGGGACAACCAAACTTTCTAACATCAAACGCATTCAATCCTTCCAGTCCAAAGTCCTCCGTACAATAGTCGATGCTCCCTTCTATGTCTCTAATAAAACCCTGCACAATGACCTTAATATTCCATTTATTCTTGATCTTATCCCAGACAAATTCTCCAAATTTCATCAGAACCTTACCCATCACCCTAATCCCGTAGCACAATCCCTATCTAGCACCACTAATCCCTACAATCCTCCTCGCAGGCTGAAACGGGAGTGGCCCCGTGACCTTTTGTAACATGTATATACTGGAGTTCTGGCAATGGCCAGATTCTCCACTCAAGTCATGAGTGTCCGTGGTTGTAGCGCCCTTACTCAATCTCTGCTGGCTTTCCATGCCAGTGAAATGGTTGATCAAGAAGCGCAGAGATCTCCTGAAGCCTTGCTTTCCATCCACATGTGGGGGGATAAGTATGGTTCGGAGTTCCAATGGCCGACTGTAAATAGTGTAATAGGTATGCCTGCGTCTAAGATGTTTATTTTCATTACTTTTTTTTTTTTTTTTTCTCACTATGATATTTTATTTTGTTCTTTTGTAGCTTTATATTATTTGAAGTTAGCTTATTTTTTTTATTTATTTTTTTTATTTGTAAATATGGTGTGAATGTGCTCTCAGAACTCTATTATAAATGTCTTTTATTGAGACAGATTGTAATATTTATCAATAAAAAAAAAAAAAATGATTTTTATGATGAATGATGATGAATATAATATTAAAAATATAGACATTATTAACGTATACATACATATAAGTATTTAATTTAATATGAATGTAAAAGATAATTTTAATTTTGGTCAACATTTTTATCACTATTATTAATGTATATAGTGCAGATACTTCGTGCACAATTAAAATGATTTCAGAAATATAATATTAAAAATCTAGACATTATTAACGTATACATACATATAAGTATTTAATTTAATATGAATGTAAAAGGTAATTTTAATTTTGGTCAACATTTTTTATCACTATTATTTATGTATATAGTGCAGATACTTCGTGCACACTTAAAATGATTTCAGAAATATAATATTAAAAATATAGACATACATATAAGTTTTTAATTTAATATGTATGTAAATTTTTGATCAACATTTTTTTTTATCACAAATTGATCACTATTATTTATGTAAAATTGTATCGTTCGGTGATTGATCATTATTCTTAAACGAATAAGTAGTAAATATCAAAAATCAATTAATTTTTTATTTATAAATCATTCATAGTTTTTAAATAAAAAATTAGATCCAATAATTATCACACGGTTTTTTGAAGAAAATAATTCTCGATTGCAAACCCTGCAAAAAAACAGTTCCAAATTTGAAAGAAAAAGTGTTAGTTGGATACCCAGAGATTAATCCGTAAAATCTATCGGTTATCTTTCTAATATATTTTTTTTTTACTAAACGAAATGTGTGTTTAGGCAATTGGATTTATTAAAATACATCCCCCATCATGAAAAATCAAGAAATAACAACTTTGCAACAATTAATTGTAGTCATTTTGGCTGAAAACAGGGGTACTTTTATGTGACAGAATAAAACATATTGTAATTTTTTTTTTTTTTTTAAAACGAGCTGAATCTCAATTTTTTTATCTAATAAATCTCAACTTAATTAATTCGAATGAACCTAAAGTTTATTAAACGAAAAAGTGTTTGTAAAAGTGGAGAAACTGTAATATAGTTGGATGATGATAAAAATAATGGCGAATAATTTATGATTTTTATAAAAACAGAACTTAGATTAGTTTAGTCGCTAAAAATCTTCTGTGAATGGTTTAGCAATAATAAACTCTTAGTTCATTTCATTCTGTTTAAAATGAACAATTATAAATTATTTAAATCAAATGTTTCTATAGTTATTGCTTTCGATTCAATTAAAAAACATGACACTTAAAAACCGCAAAACTCGGATTTGCTACTTTTCCGTTGAAAATTGGCGCATTGTTTATATGAACTTTTTTGTAGCTCTGGAGACTTTCTATCGCTCCTAAAAACATTTCCCTCTACTTATGGGGCACCCTGTATATTAATATATCCTATATATTATATCTAAATGGTGTCTGGACGCCGTAACTTGGTCAATTCTTCATCAAATCCAATCATTGATCACTCATTTTGAAGATATTATTGTCCTTCATATGCGAAAAATAGTCCTATTCTCCCGAAATTTCTGGAAAAAAAGTTATGTAGGAAAAGATAATTAATTTTCGAATAATTCGAAAAGTATGCATTTCTTTCTCGATTGTACCCATGATAACTAGAAACATTACTAAATTACCTACAAAACAAAAAAAAAAGATCGATTACAAATATGTATAATTTAAACCATTTGTATTGACGGAAGGAGTAAAGTGTGTTGAAATATTTTTTTTTAATTGAAACAGAGTTGAGATTTGTATTTCCCAGCTCGAAAGACACTCGAATACGAATTTTCATTGCGATCGAAAAATAATTTTTTTTTTTACCTATGATAATTAGAAAGATTACTAAATTACGTACAAAACAAAACAAAAAAACACGGGCATTAATCCTCCGTCCTTACCTCTGGAAAAACACTATTTAGCCCAAAAGGCGATAAAGGTTAGGACAAAAAAAAGGTTAATGGAACCATGAATAGAAGTATTGTACAATCTGTAGCAATTATCATTTTTTTTTTTTTTTTTTTTATATCTCATGTAATAGAGCTTATGAATTCTTTGCTTTTGTTAATTTATTCTGTATCTTATATGTACAAATTTGTAATCTGTATCTGTATATTATATGATTTTTGCATTTTTCCTTCATACTGTTTTTGTATATAAATGTAGCTCAACATTATGACATCATTTTAGGAATATTCAATTTATATTGTTACTTTGTTTAATTTTTTATCATGTTTTATATTCATTATGACTGAAATATTATCATTAAATTCAATAAAGAATTAAAAAAAAAAAATAGAGCGTGAGTGCTCTGGAACACTAATATAAATATCCTTGATTGTGTAAGAATGTAATATTTCTGAATAAACAAATCAAATAATTTTTAAAGGCGTTTCACTAGTTTAATCACAGCTTTTAACATTTATTTTTAATCAGATTCGGTATGACTGCAATCAATATTATTTACTTTTTTTATATGTTATTTCGGATCTAGGAACTTTGCCCTCACATCTTTTTAAACAAAGATTTTACTGAACTTTAATTTTAATTATTTTTAGAGTCTATTTTTTTTTAAACTTCACAAAAACTGTTAAAATAGAACTTTCAAAAAAGTTTCTCCCTTGGTTATAATGATAATTTGGATTTTCATATATAAATATATTAAAACTGGTCTTAATAGAACCAGTCACTTCATAACAGCAACTTACGTGGAACAAAGTTCATTAGAGATAAGACAAGATAAGGTCAGGGAAAAAAAATGTTTTACAAGCTAAGTTCAGTTTTTTTTTAAATCATAAATAATTTACGACTTTTTTTATCATCCTAAAACTATACTACAGCTTAGCAATAATTGGTTGAATGTATTTCGCTCAAAATACGGGTACTTTTAGGTGACTTGATATCACCTGATTTTATTACTCAACTTAACATGCATCTCAATGTATTTCGTAATAAATCCCAACTCAATCAATATAGATTTAATGCTTCTAGAACCAGGAAGTTTTTCTGTATTTGTGACAAATATAGTTGATGATAAGAAAAAATCGTTTAACATTCATAATATTTAAAAAAACAGAACTTTGTCAACTCAAAAGTTAAGTTCGAATGGTTTTAGCAATTACAAACACTATTTTTTTAAATTAGAAATAATTATCATTTGTAGTAAATTTTACTTAATCAACTGTGAATCAATTACTTTAATTAAATATTTTTTTAGTTATCGCTTCCTATTCAACAAACACGTCCTCTCTAAATATTTCTCTTTATTTACATTTCCTTTATAATTGATGTTCATAACTATTACATGTTTGTGTTATGACGTTTTGTTCAATATTAGGAACATGGTTAATAATACATAGAAGACAGTTAATAAGGAAGTCTTACCGTGGTTGTGAAGGCGCTGCTTAGCAGGCTCTGCAGAAGCTGATGACAACCTGGACACGAAGAGAGAGGACAGAGGAGGAAGGCCAGCGACAGCGCTGGAGCAGTTGAGGGTGATGCTGCCACTGTCCAGCCTGCTGAGGGGGTAGTTCAAAGCCAACCAGCTGGAAAACACTGGCCCTTCGTGCTCCAGGGTCCCGCTGTCTGTCGTGTAGTAGTGTTTGGCCTGGAACCAATATAAACTTTCAACAATAATGTTTCCGCATGCAGCAATACTTAGATTGTACAAAACCTGATAGTGCTTTGCGGTCCATCTTTACAAAATCTAAAGCCCAAGAATATAAGGATTCTAGTGGCACAGATCTATCCTTCAGGTTCATATATCATTAACTGATGGTGACAATGGTATATCATATATCATGGTGATGTTCACTAATAAGTTCAAATTTGTTTCTCACCATATACATCTCAAGTAACCAGAAGCTCTAGTGTCAATAAAACTGTAACCGCACTTTTACACATAGAAAACATCCATAATTACATTATGGGTGTACTTTTATTGATACTCAAACACAATCAGTGGTATTATGAAATAAACCGATGACTGCTCAATCTTACTTTGGTGTTTGTGTGTGATCTTATTACATATTAACACATTTTTACGTAAAGTAGTATTCTACTAATTAAAGAATAATTTACAACAAATTTTGCGAGTGGTGACTTTATGATAATTGATAATAAAATATTCAAATACTATGTATCGTAGAGGGCAGAACCTCCTTCATTGAACCTCCTTAACTTTGCCACGAACAAAATGTTTGTCAAAATACTTGGGTGTTTGACAACTAAACCATATTTGCTGAGATATAATATTAGTGAAATATATATATTAAAAAAAAAAATAACTACTCATCAAACTATAAGGAAATATTATCATACAGGGACATTTATAGAGCCATTGGATGGTGAAAGCCCCGTTGGAGCGGAGGATTTCAAACCATTAACAACCGATCCTGATTACTTTGCCTGGCCAAGTCACATGCTGCCGTCATCAGTTTTGCTAGAACAATGGGAACCGCACCATTGATCATCTAATATCTTGGGCCTCGTCCAACTCCTGCCTAGATGCTAATGTAATGAATTCACAACTCACTCAAACGGATACTTAGGCCATTAAAATTATAGGAATAAACAGAAATTAATCTCTGCAAGGATGAACTATATTTTTTTTTTCAATATCAGATATATGAAATAATAACTTTACTACTAATAGTCCGAGAAGTGGAATAAGAAAAAAAACTTATCAATAATAATTCAAAAAGTTTTGAAGAGCTTTATAACAATAATGATTAAATTAAAATATCATAACTAAAATACGATTACCGTTACTAACAGCCCTCTCCTCTAGCAATATTAAATTATAATTTTTACCACAGTTGTATACAACTTTAATAGGCAAATATATCAATCCGGAGAGGAAAGAAATTAAATATCTGTACATAAAAATCTGGAAAACAAATTAGTACAACTTTCTTATCATTTTTAATCGGTACATAAGAAAATACGCATATAAGCATACACCTTTACTAAGATTATAATATTTATTTAAAACTAATAGAAGCCTAATAAATAGTATTAAGTTTAAAAATTAATATAGCCTTTTAATGCAATATGTTTACTGTTGACCGCATTATATTCTTAAAATTAACTTAATTAATTGCCAAGTCGAAATTGATACCAAGCTATTTGTACATTATTCCCCGAATTATCTTGAATTTTCATATCATAGACCAAATCAAATTAGGCGCTTTTGGAATAACGATCAGATAAAATTAATCTAGAAAAATACGCTTTCGAATACATAAGCGAAATAGAGGATAGAGTTCGATAAAATTGGTCATCTTTTCTTCAACTTTGACCAAGCCATTTTTTATATACGACCGTACCATAAAATCTTGAGTGTGCGCAAGTCGAAGAAGTGATTGGAATTTAATGAAATCGATGTTTGACTGCTTAAGTACCAACCGCAAAAATCCTAAAACGCATTAAAATTAGATTAGTTGTGTAGATGAAAAAAGAACTAAAATTAACCTGAGAGATTGGGGGGGAGGAGGAGGCGGGGTGGCCAAGCGATCTAACAAGAGTGCAAAACATAAGTTTTCCGGCAGCCAACCATACAACCATTAACCAGGAAGGGCATATTTTTTTTAACTCTGGCATTGATCTCCCTCCATCTCCTGTAGTGCGGGAAAATCCCCGTATAACCTGAAAGGGAAGGAAGGGGAAGACAGAAAAAAAAAACTGAGAAGTAAAGGTGCGGGGTGGCCGAGCGAGTAAAATTGTTGAAAAACAATACGTGATAACCTTAAGATTGCGAGATAGAATCTGGCGCCGAGTGCATTTAGCTCATTCAAATTCTCCTGCTCACTCCCCTGACCTGTAAAAATACCGTAATGCATAAAAGGTCCTATGGGAGAAAAGAAAAAAGAACCTGAGAAGTCATATTATAGTCTCATCACCAAACCTTCTTATTCCCTATAGATTTACTAATGAAGACATAATGCTCAATAAAGCGATAGAAAGGCCCCTTTCTGCTTGTTAACTACCAAAAGGCTGTAGTAATCCGACTTCATTGCAACTAAAGGGGATGGTAGGAAATGGTCGAGTGAATCAATTTAGCAAGTAGTCAGGAAATTCTCATTCCGCCTATCCATGAATATCAATCAGCTGGAGAGGGACTTTATTGGAGCCCACTCAGCCACTTACACAGTCTCTTCAAGCTAGGCCCAAATGTAGGTAACGATAAATACTGATTATCTGAAGACTGATCATAAGAAGTATTACAGGAATCTATTAACCAATAGAAGAAGGAAAATTGTTGAGTTATATATTCAACCAAAATAAACGTTTGGATTAACAGACCTTGTAGAGATTCGGCCGAATGAACCAGCTTTTTCCACTTCCGCTTAATTCATTATATCTATTCATGCTTTTTTGTTTCCAAAGTGGTGCCAAACTATCCTGGCATTCATTGTTGTGTAGATCAAACTGATGTTTGATTCTAGCTCTACCTGTCTTAACACCCTTCTCTTCATACAATGAGATGTGGACTGACCAGTTTCTATATGAAATTCTATATTTGAAGAAGGTTCCTCCATACCTTACAATTACCAGATCGCGTAGTTTATCGCAAGGACGACTTTTATCTCAAATCTTTCAATTCTGCTATCTAGCGTGCTGGTTAGTGTCCAGTTCTTGAAGCCGTACATCAAAGACTTTATCCTAGCATTTGAGATTTCTTACCGGATGCGCTTCAAAGTGAGCAGAAATACGTCTGCGCTTGAAGTACCCTCATTTCTAAAAATTAATCATATATTAAAATTATTTTGGATTGAGGTATTTAAATCTGTCTTGATGAGGTTGTTGAATATAAAAGTTTTTAAGTCAAATACTTTTATTTTTATTGTTAATACATTCAGTTTAAAGAATATCTTAATTTCGTGGTTTACTCATGTAATAAATCTCAATCTTCCAATTTTGGATAGCATATGTAGATTTTTAAAAAGAAAAAATAAATTTAAATAGTTTTAGGTTATATTTTTATAATTGTTGTATGTTTATTTTTAGAAAATATACTACTATAGCTCTAGTACCAATGCCCTTCAGTGTGGCAGACTGTATTAATACTCAATAAAGGTTAAAAAAAAAAAAAAAAAAAATATATATATATATATATATATATATATATATATATATATATTATATATATATATATATATATATAATTCCACTGTGGATTAATATGATTAAAAACATCTATAAAATTATAAACCTATAAAACTTGTTCTCAACCTGTTAATTTCAATTTAAATAATACCTCAACAGATTATTGGCCAGTGGGGATTAAAAGTAAAAAGTGAAAAGTAGAAAACCAAAACTGAAACTAAAATATGTAAAATAACTTCAAGTACTGAATTGAGAACACGCATAAAATCATGTTATCATGTCAACAAATCATACTGATGAAGATTCCCACATTGAAACATTGTCCGGAGTAAATAATTAGCATATTTGGAAACTTCAAATAGACATCATATTTCAATATTCAGTTACGGATGATATTATCAGGAATATTTTATCTCACATGATAAAAAAAAAGCTGCCAGTATAAAACATGATAGTGATGAAAATGAAGTTTCAGAAGAACACCAGTCCAATGCAGATGTTGAATAACATACATTTAATAGACAAAAAAAATAAAATAAAATAAGGTCCGATTCAGGTGATTGGGAAGAAGAAACTGTTACCAAAAATGAAAAGAGGAAATTTTCTTTAATGAGCATCATTGAAAGAAAACAATTTTGATCTTTTTCTGTCTAGTGTTTAACGTTTTCTTCGAAGAGATTGTAATGCGATATAATCGGCTGCTTTAGGTGTTTATATGCTTAGATTTATTTTAATTCTTAATCGGAAAAAAGCCGGGTCGATATTTCTTTCAGGATTGGCTGTTAATGGTATACGTCTTCCTCTGAAGTACCTTTAATTTGATTTATATAAAAAAAAAAATAACTCACTCTTATTGACATAACCTATAGAAAATGGCTAAATATAACTTTTGAAAGAATTTAATAAAGGAGAAAAAAAGAAAAATGCTTATCCATGTCGAAAATGGAGTAAGCGGAGAATTTTAGATAAAATAATATCTAATAAATAAAGTTGTGCAAGGTAACGGAGAATGACGAAAAAAAAAAAACATTTCTGAAAACTAACATTATTTAACGTAAATCAAATGTTTCGGAGGAAATTAAATGGAATTTTCTTCTAAATGCTAGAGATGTGTGGAGCTCTGCTATGATTTGAAGAATTATCCCACGTTGGAACACCGGAAATAAGAAAATAAATAAGAAACAGAGTTAAAATAAAAAGTATATTCAACAAATAAAAATAAAACAATTTGAAAATAAGTAAATTTAAAAAATACCCACACAGACGTACCCTATACACTATTTACAATCATGCGAAGGAATTCCGGGCCAAGCTTGTCCCTCCAACAATGGAAGGAAAACAGGACTCCATGAAATCCCTGCACTATCTCAACCGCATAACTGGTATTAAACCTAGTGGATATTGAGCGGAGAGTTTTTGCCACGTACACTCATGCAATAAGTAGAAAATCTGACCATTGCCAGAACTTTAATTAATACACAGTACAAAAGGTCGCGGGACCACTGCCGTTTCCAACCTTCTTTGATTATTATAGGGATAGATGATGCAATACAGGGATTGTGCAAGTGGATTTGGATGATACGAAAGGTTTTGGTGACATTTGGAGATTTTTTCTGAGATTAGGTTGCATATTGAGGTCGTGGTGTATTTTTTGTTCGTTTCCTAAAATGGAACGTTTAATATAATTCGAATGAATCTGGACTGGAATGATTGGATGCGTTTAGCTTCAGAAAATTTAGCGGTCCTCCGCATTTATAATTCGTAAAAGTATATTTTATTTATATTGCCAGCATAAGTACACATAAACATGACTGATTGCAGTAAAAGTAAGTTGTTACTAAATAAAAGCCTAATAACTTATTAACAGAATTTAAAGGAGTAACAATATATCAAAAACAAAGGGCTTTATACATTTTCCTGGGTCCTGAGCCAGAATGAGAAACGATTTTCCACGAAGAGTGTTTTCCACATACCTTATTCAATACTAAAATATTGAGATAACGCCATTGTGGTCAAATGAGCGGCCAGTTTTGATTAACACGCGAATCCATTTACATCAAGACATCGATATCGCACCTGCCAAACCTACTAATTAGCTATTTAATATAGTAGATTAATTCACAGGACCCTATTAATTTTCTGTCATGAATTAATTAGTGGATCGGTGAGTAGCTGGTGTCGGGATGCCGTTGAAGCGTGCCTTTCCAAGACAGCCCTGAGGAGCAAGGGGGCGGTATTAATTGGGAACGAGGCAAGTGGGGTGTCTAGGTGTAGGCAACCAGCTCATTTTAGAGGAAAGTAAATGTATTTCTGTTTAAAATAACTGTTGTGACTTGAGTGTATTGGAAAATTCTGGGAATATATG